GGAAGTAGAAAAGATGGTGGAAACTAAGGGTTTAAATAAATAGGGTAGCCCTGGCTGGTATGGCTCAGTGGTTGGAGCTTCGGCCCTCACACGGAAGGGTTGCGGGTTCAATTCCCAGTCAAGAGCACGTACTTGGTTTGCAGGTTTGATCCCCGCCCTGGTTGGGGCACATGCAGGAGGCAACCAGTTGATGTGTCTCTCTCACATCGATATCTCTGTCTTCCCTCCCCTCCCCTTCGCCCTCTCTAAAAAGAATCAATGGAAAAAATATCCTCAAGTGAGGGTTAACAGAAGAACACACAGAAAAAAACAGGGTAAGTAGGAACAGTGAAGAGGGCTGTTGAGGAAATAAACTGGGTGTGTGTTTTAGAGTGTTTTAGTCCATTTTGACTACTATAACAAAAATACCATAAACTGGGTATCTTATAAGGAACAGAAATTTCTCGCTGTTCTGGAGGCTAGAAGTCCAAAAGTCAGGGTGCCAGTAAATTCAGCATCTGGTGAGAGCCTACTTCTTGGCTTGTGGATAGCTGTCTTCACATTGCACTCTCACATGGTGGAAGGGACAAGGGAGATCTCTGGAGTCTCTTGTATAAAAATACTAATCCCATTCATGAGGGCACCACCATTACGACCTAACCACCTCCAGATAATATCATATTGGGGATTAGGTTTCTTCAATACATGAATTTTGGGGGGGATGCAGGCATACAGTGTATAGCAGGGAGGTCTTGGGAAAGGCCACATTAGATAGGCCTTTGCTGGGAGGCCTCCCTGAGGAGGTAACGTCTGAGCTGTGACCTGTATGAGGAAGAGTGGGCCATGGAAAAAGTTGGAAGGGGGCTTTATGTATAGGCAAAATCCATAGGTTGAGGTATTAAAAAAACCCAACTTTTCTAACTTAGCTGAGAAGTATAAGAGAAACAAGTACTTCATACTTTGCTACCAGGGCAAGGGACATCCAGTGAAGGTGGTGGAGTAGATGAACTCTGTTCTCACTCCTCTCAGGAGCATATAAAAATTATAACTAAATCATAGAAGAACCATTATTGAGAACCACCTGAAGACTAGCTGACCATAATTCATGTAAGGATATAAGAAACCGTGCCAAGACTGGTAGGAGGAAAAGAGACATGGTAAGGGCAAGTTCCACATCCATGGTGTGGTGATTAAGAATCAAGAGGGATAACTTGGCTGCAGCGGTACCCCCTGAGGAGCGAGGGGTTCCAGCCCCAGACCCAACTCCCCAGAGCCTGGAACCAGTGCTGGAAAGAGAAGTCTCCATAACGTCTGGCTGTGAAAAACAGTAGGGATTGCGACCAAGAAAGACAGAGGGCTGCAGGAAACAGATATGTTGCTCTTGAAGAGCTGGAGTACAAATTCACTCGCTTACAAACTCACTTGCTCCAAGCTCCAGTTCAGGGACAGCAGCTCAAAATGCACCAGGGACATATAGGGAGGAACTAAATTGACTAACTTAAGGGCGAAGAGTGGAGGGGGAGGGGCTGAGGCCTCTCTCTCTCTTGGGATGGAAGCATGGGCATATGTCACTATTTCTTGGTTGAGCTCTCCTCCCACCCAGGCAGCCCAGTGCAGGCAGGCGCCAAATCTGTGCTCTCCATTAACCTGGCTAACACCATTCATCTTCCCTGGTGATTCCCTGAGACCCCATCCCACTCAATTTGCTCTGCCAGCCTGAAACTCTTCCAGCAGTTCCTCCACACCAGTGGGCAGACTTGGCTCATGCTTCAGACTTTCACAAAATTATCAAAGGTCAAAAGAGAAATTAAGAAAACAGCCCCATTTACAATTGCATCAAAAAATAAAATTGCCGTAGCTGGTTTGGCTCAGTGGTTAGAGCATCGGCCTGTGGACTGATGGATCCTGGGTTCGATTCTGGCCAAGGGCACGTACCTCAGTTGCAAGCTTGATCCCTGGCGTTGGTCGGGGCTCATGCAGGAGGTAACCAATCGATGTGTCTCTCTCATATTGATGTTCTCTCTGTCTCCCTCTGCCCCTTCCACTTTTGCTGAAAAGCAAAGGAAAAAATATCCTCAGGTGAGGATTTAAAAAAAAAAAACACCAGAAAAAAACCCCTAGGAATAAATTTAACCAAGGAAGTAAAAGAACTGTACTCAGAAAATTATAAGACATTGAAGAAAAAAATTGAAGATACAAATAAATGGAAGCATATACTGTGCTCATGGATAAAAAGAATTAACATTATTAAAATGCCCATACTACCCAAAGCAATCTATAGATTCAGTGCAGTCCCTATCAAAATACCAATAGCATTTTTCACAGAACTAGCACAAATAATACTAAAATTTATGTGGAACCACAAAAGATTCCAAATAGCCAAAGCAATATTGAGAAAGAACAAAATTGAAAGTAACATACCACCCAATCAAACTATACTACAAAGCTACAGTAATCAAAAGAGCATGGTACTAGCACATAGCCCTGGCTGGTGTGGCTCAGTGTTTAAAGTGTCGTGAGCACCGAAGGGTTGAGGGTTCAAGTTCCTGTCAAGGGCGTGTACCTCAGTTATAGGTTTGCTCCCTGCCCCCAGTCGGGGCATGTGTGGGAGGCTGCCAATCTGTCTCTCACACATTGATGTCTCTACCCTCTCTCTCCCTCCCCCCTCCCTCTTACTCTTTCTAAGAAATCAATGGAAAAAAATATCCTCGGGTGAGGATTAATAGCAAAAAACAAACAAACATACACATAGATCAATGGAGAATACAGAATAGAAAGCCCAGAAATAAACCCAAACCTATGTGGTAAATTAATCTATGACAAAGGAGGCAAGCATATACAATGCAGTAGGTAAAGATAGACTCTTCAATGAATGGTGTCGGAAAAACTGGACAGATACCTGCAAGAAAATGAAACTAGACTACTTCCTTATACCACATATAAAAATAAACTCAAAATGGATTAATGACTTAAATGTAAGACCCGAATCCATACAACTCCTAAAACAAAACATAGTCAACTCTTTGACATTACTCATATATACACACACGTGTATATACACATATATGTACATATATATACACACGTGTGTATGTGTGTATATATACTTGTCCTCAGGCAAGGGAAACGAAAGACAAAAAATTAAGAAACGGGACTACATCAAACTAAAAATTTTTGCACAGTGAAGGAGACCATCAACAAAATGAAAAGACAACCTACTGAATGGGAAAAGATTTTTGCCAATTATATACCCAATAAAGGGTTAATATCTAAAATATATAAGGAACTTATACAACTTAAAAAAATCTGATTAAAAAATTGGCAGAACACCTGAATAGACCTGTCTCCAAAGAGGACATACAGATGGCCAATAGACATATGAAAAGATGCTCAAATTACTAATCAAAGAAATGCAAATTAAAACCACAATGAGATATCACCTCACACCTACCATAATGGCTACCATCAACAAATCAACAAACAAGTGTTGGTGAAGGTGTGGAGGAAAGGGAACTTTCGTGCACTGTTGGTGGGAATGCAGACTATGCAGCCACTATGGAAAACAGTAAGTAGCTTCCTCAAATAATTAAAAATATAACTACCATGTGACCCAGCAACCTCACTTCCGGATATTTATCTGAAGAAATCCAAAACGCTAATTCAGAAAGATATATTGTTTATTGCAGCATTATTTATAATAGCCAAGATCTGGAGGCAACCTAAGTGCCCATCAGTAGATGAGTGGATAAAGAAGATGTGGTACATATATAAAATAGAGTATCACTCAACCATAAAAAAGAATGAAATCTTGCCATTTGCAACTGCATGGATGGACCTAAAGGGTATCATGCTAACTGAAATATGTCAGATGGAGAAGGACCAGTACCATAGGATTTTACTTCCATGTGGAATCTAAGAAGACCGGCGGGGGGGAATGTGTGGTAGAGGGGATCAGTGTGGGGGGAGGGGGACATCTGTAATACTTTCAACAATAAAGAGAAAAAAGAATAAAGTATCTGCAACAGGGAAAAAAAGCAAAATAAACAAAACAGAAACTAACTCGAGGATAAAGATAAACTGATAGTCACCAGATGGGAGGGGGGTTGGGGTAATGAGTGAAAAAGGTAAAAGGAATTAAGTGCAAATTGTCAGTTACAAAGACAGTCACAGGGATGTAAAGTACAGCTTAGGGAATATAGTCAATAATATGTATGAGTTGTTTTAAAAAATAACTTTGCCACAAGAGTTTGTTTAAATTCATCCTTTCCTCAAATAATGCTGGACTTTGATGTGGCAAATAAGAACCTTGGGCTGTGATACAGTTCTGAAAGTAATGTATTACCAGACTGTCTAAATGCTTATGTAATACTGTGGCTATCTCTCTCTCTGGAGGTTTACTCCATCTTCCATTTCCTAACTTGACATCTGGTAAAACAGAATTTGGTTTAGCAGTTAAAATAAAACAAGAAACAAAAATCCAGACATGACACTATCAAAGTTAAAATAAAATGTTTAATAAAAGTTATGCTAAAGATGAAGACTCAAAATTAGATATTAGGCAGATTTATAAAACAAAGTACTACAATTTTTACATTTCAAACAAATCATAAAGTATAAAATTGTAAAATGTCAACATGTGCAAGGAAAGCATTAATAGCCCTTTCAGTGACTAACCATATAAAGCTGTTTTTAAAGTGCTACAGTGTGAGACATTATATTTAAGAGTTTCATTAACATCTGATTTCAACATAGTCTCAGAACAGTTTTTTTTTCTCAAGCTACAAAATGTTTTGTTAGGAAAGCTGAAATTAAGCATGTATAAAATTAAGGAGTAATAGACTTACTAATCCCAAGTTATTAGTGCAACTCAAAAGCCTGTGAAATTCCAGATCAGGAACAAACTGTCTTGCTCAAGGTGCGCTTTAATCCACACATGTATCTCATCTAAAATCCACACAACAGCCTCTCCATTTATATACAGTCTGTTCCTGGGCATTTAGTTTATCAGTTGTTTTTTTAACAGAACAAAAATCCTCAAGGCACCTAAAGATTAGCCTGTATTTCATTTGTCCACACTGAAAATGCAGAGGGTAGACTGCTGTGGGATCAAGTGGTGGCAGTACAGAGAAATGGTTTAGAGAAAACTCTCCAGGCACAAAGATTGGTAAGTTTGAAATGAACAATGGTACATTTTAACTAGGTGCCTAAATGTCTCTATAAGCTTCAGCTTTATCAGCTGCAAAATGGCATCCTCTTAATAGAATTTCTGTAATGATTATATATGCCTACAAATAAAGGATTAAATATGGTGCTAGCAGAAGGAAAGACTCCAAAATAGAGTTGTTTGTACTATTATCATGATTGCTTCTATATAAGGAAGGAGTATTATGAGTGAATAAAGGAAAAGTCTCATCATTCTTTGGACTGCGTTCTCACTGGGAGCACTACTGGCATACTGGACAGGACAATTCCTGTACAGAATTGCTCAGACATTTAGCATCCTGGCCTCAAGGCAGCAAAAGGCCAGTAGCACCCCCATTGTTGTAATAACCCAAACTGCATCCATACATTTCCAAATACCCCCTGAAAGAGATCATTACCTTTCTTGAGAATACTCTTCTAGAGGGGCCTTCTTTTTAAGAAACAATTTAGTGATCTTCATAAGAATAAGAATGCCTCCTTGTCTTTGAGAATATTTAAGGATAAGATAACATTAGGCCTTGTGGCAGGGAGAACAGGAAATAATTCAGTACAATTTGAATCCCAGTAGCAAAATTCCCAAGCTCACTATTCAGGGCTCAAGTCAAAAGGTAGATCTGTATCTTTACGAGTAAACTCAGCAGAAAGGAATACTCCATGAAGCCGCTTCAGCCAGGCGGCCTGGCATGTAGTTGAAATGGAAGGTAGACATATAAATTCAGACTATAACCTTTCCTCAACATTACTGGACGAGGGTCCACTTCCATGTCTACGAAAACTAAAAACTAAAATCATAAACAAAAAGATTAACAAGAACAAAACCACCACCCCTCAACTAACATAAGGGTCTGTGGTAAGAAAAGCTCTAACTCAGCCTGAACTCACATCCTTCTCTGACAGTATTCACATCTGAGCACCACTTTCATGTTGGCACAGGTCTGAAACAGGTCGGTCTTCCTTCTATTCCTGTTTGTTCTCCAGAATTTAACAGGGTTTTGGGGATGTCAGAAAAGATACGGGGCATTTGACCTTCCTTAGTGCTGACCGATGGAAGGCAAGCTTTGTAACCATATGAAGTGATTAAGGCACTGAGAGATGAGAAGAAACACTCACTGGTGGAAGTCACTGGGAATAAAATCCAGATCTGCTTCCCAATCCAGTACTCTGGTCCCATCCTCTAAGTCACAGACAAGCTTTACTAAAATGGCTGAAGTATCCTGCTGAGGAATCCCCGAGATGAAAGCTCCCATACGTTCTACCCTTTTTAGTCTTGAACCTGAGCCTAACCTAGATCCATTATCTACTGAGAATGAAGAATGTGTTTAGAAAGACATGTATTTACATTCTGTTCATCTCCTTTTGGAGATGTTCTTTATCTCTTCGAAATGATTATATTAAATGGATAGGGGGCTAAAGTTAGACCGTATCTTCCAGTCAGAATGGGCTTCTTAGCATCCTTCGGTAAAGCAAATGTGAAACTCTGCATCAGGCTCACAAACATCAGGAATAGTTCCATCTTCGCCAGCTGCTCTCCCATACACACCCGCTTCCCTAAAATAAGAGCAGAAAAAAGTAAGCATTATCATACCACCCCTTTTCCTGTCTCTAAAAGGACACATTTATATGAAGTACCTAAATTGTTTTAATAGTTTTAAAATAAAACTGCCACATATACCAGATGACCTCCACAGTAACAATCAGAATTTATACATGTGAAGTGCACATTTTAACTCCTGCTCATAAAAATCTATCTTCATCCTAGACAGGAACTAGAGACAGATCCAATGCTGTGGCTACCTTGACTCCTACTTATGTACCTACTTCTTTCTTTCCTGAGCTCTTACCTGGATGATTAGGGAGGAAACAGATCAGATCATAAGACTCTCCAGAGCATTCCTTTTCTGTAGAAAAAATCCTACGTCCTAATCTAGGAACCTAAAAGAGGGACTGCTGAGAAAAGAGAACCCACCAGCCCAGCAGGAGGTCAAAAGTTGCTCTAATTCCAGCAGTTCCCCTGCACTCAAACAATCACCTGGGCAGTTGAGAAATGAAGATTTCTAGGCATAGGTAAAGATTTAAAACCAAACTGCTTTCATTTTGTTTTTAAAATCTGAAATGAACATAGTGTATTACCTAAATTATTTACCTCTTATATTAGCTTGCCAAGAAAGAAACATTTTTAAAACAGTATTATAAAATAATAAAATATTATTTTGGTTCTTCATTTTTAATTATGCCATTAAGAAAATAAAAGTTTAACTGACCTATCCCAAAAGGAATAAATGTTTCTTTTTTAATAAGTTGTCCTTGATCATCCAGAAATCGATTAGGGTTGAAATCTTCGGGTTTCTCCCAAATAGCTGGGTCTCTGTGCACTGCCCACAAGTTGGTTAATACCAGTGTGCCTTTAGGAATAGTGTACCCTTGGAGCACTAAAACAAAAACAAAGTATCATTCAACATGCTTTTTACTAATAGCTCTCTGTAAATATAACCATCTAAAAAATACCTAGTTCCACACCCAGTTTCTTAATTCTCTGAGACTGAACCTTGAGGTACTTGCAGGCAGGGGGCAAGACCTTGTCAATTGGCATCCCTTTCTCCATACCACTCCAGGACCCAGCCTGAGAGTTGCTTGACGGATGTTGAGTTAATGAATTAGATCAAACCATAAAAACATTACAATAGAAAACACTAACACAGAAATCACAGGGCATACCTGGTCAACTTTCCCAAAGAATACAAATTCCTAATACTTGTATAAAACTTTACAGTTTATAACAGGGTTGGGGAACTTCTGGCCCACAGGCCTTATATAGGCCGGGGAAATCGTTTGGTCTAGCCCTGCCAAGGCCTCACCAAAGAGAAGCAGTTCCAGCCATCACTTTAGGAGTGAGTTAATTAAATGTTTGACCAAATATAGCAGGCTAATTTTTAAGTTGGTAATTTTGTATGTTCCGCGAATTATATTATAAATATCCAAATGGCTCTTGGCAGGAAAAAGGTTCCCCACCCCTGGTTTAGAGTTTTTTATGTCCACACAATAATATGAGAAAGGTAAGGTAAAGGGATGTACAGGGAAGTCAGCACTGCCTCTTAACCAGCTGAAAAATTCCCATGCACTTTAAACAATGCCCAAAAGATACTACACACACAGTGCATCTAATTTGTACCAAAGAAATTGTTAAATGACCCAATGTCATTTGTAAGTGATTGCCTCCTACAATTGTCTCATAACTAGATTTAAGACCATTACATCATGAGCTGTCTCCAAGGAGGTAAATGCCTTGTTATGAGGGATGTTTACAGGGTCTGAGTGCCTATACAGAGTGGGGTAAAAGCAGGTTTACAGTTGTAGTATGCAAAACAGTTTATTCTTGTATTATGAAGGACTATAAGCCTACTTTTGCCCCACCCTGTATGTCAAGAGCATGACCAAAAGGACACATTTCACTGTGAGAGGTTGAAACAGGTACCCTTAGAATCAAATGGGATCTTTTCATTCTTTAATATTTATGCTTGTTACAGAACTGTAACAACTGAAGTAGGATAATTCCCAGTTAAAATCCTTAATTCCATATTTAGACTGGCTCTTCAGACCCCTAAGAGGACTAAGAGGTGGGCGCCTTTGCCAATGCTAGAGTGTCTTCTGTCACTGCAGCCACCTCAGATGGCAGCATCATTTGTTTGACCAGTGTGAACATCTGTGCTCTGAAGACTAGAGAGCCGTTTATAAAACAAGCTGCACAGGAATGCCAGTACAATAAATAAAGGACAAGTGTGGGCTGAAGCTTCCCCTGGACGTTTGGTTGTCCATGACACAATGCTAAACCATCAGAAGGATCAAGCTAGGAGACTGTCACCATACCCTCCCCTCCACTCCCCTGGATTAAGGGGCTGGGCTTCCCACAAGGGCATTCAAAGGAGGAAGGCTCTAGACTTGCCTGTTTTCGCTGAGGTCATATGAGGAATGCCAAGTGGCACTACCATAGTCAGCCTCTGTACCTCCATGATGGTGGCTTCCGTGTAGGGCATCTGGGCCTTATAGGTGAGGGAAGGGGCTCGGTCAGCACCAATGACCCTTTCAATTTCTTCGTGAACTTTTGCTATACATAAAAGGAAAGAATAAACCAGAAGATAAGCCAGGAGTGAGTTGAGACTGCCCTCCTATGCCTCCTTTCCATCACCTTGTACACACAATGGGTAACATGGCGGTACAGGCCTGACTCAGCCTGAGTGAAGGGAAGCACTGGTCAGATGTTTCAAGTGGAGCCAGCTAGTCCCAGGAACCCTGTTCCACTCTGACTATGAAGGATAAGAGAACAGATAGAGGAGGCAAAGAAGCACTCTGTATTCAGGAGCACTCTGAATCACTCATGTGAATGACTCTCTAAGCTTTTATGTGTGACGATGTGTGGTAGTCCAACATGACCCCCAAAGATCCCCGTGCCTCTTGGTTTACACATTCTTTTAAAAATTTTTTTTAATTGATTTTTAAAGAGAGAGGAAAGGAGAGAGAAACATTGAAGTGAGAGTAAAACATTGATTGGCTGCCTCCTGCATACCCCCTAATGGGGGTCGAGCCTACAACCCAGGCATGTGTCCTGACCAGGAATTGAACCAGCAACCTTTTAGTGCACAGGATGATGCTCAGCCAGCTCAGCCACACTAGCTAGGGCTTGGTTTACACAGTCCCCTCCCACTTCGTACCAAGTTGGTCTAACTGACCAAGAGAATAAGGAAGAGTTGGCATGTCAGTTCTCAACTTTGGTTATAAAAGGTACTGTGGCTCCTGTCTTGGCCATTCACTCTCTCTTGGTCCAATTCAAGCAGCCCTATGGAAACATCCACGTGGTAAGGCCTGCAGCCAGTATCAAGTGGATGAGCCATCTAGGAAGTGGATTCTTCAGTCGCAGTCAGGTTTATAGATTACTGCAACTGCAGCCAGATTTGACTATAGCCTCATGAGAAATCCTAAGCTATACCATCCAGGCTAAGCTGCGCCTGGATTCCTGATCCTCAGAAACTTTGTGAGATGTTGTTTTAAAGTGCTAAATTTTGCTATAATGTGTTACTCAGCAACAGATTAACTAATATAGGTAGACACAATTCCATCTATAGTAGGCAAAAATTGGCCCCTCAAAGATGTCCCCAGCCTAATCCCTGAAACCTGTGAATATGCTACTTTACCTGGCAAAAGAGACTTTGCAGCTGTGATTAAATTAAGGGCCTTGAGATGGGGAAAATATCCTGGATTTTCTGAGTATGCCAATCTAATCACATGGGTTTTAAAATTGGAGAACTTTTCCCAGTTGAGTTTAGAGTCAGAGGGAAATGTGATTATGGATGAATGGTCAGAGAGATGCAGTATTTTTGGCTTCGAAGATGGAGGAAGAGGGCCATGAGCCAAGGAAGCTGGAAATGGATCCTCCTCTAGAGCCTCCAAGAAGGAATGCAGCCCTGCCAACACCTTGATTTTAGCCCAGTGAGACGTGTCAGATTTCTAATGTACAGAACTAGAAGGTGATAAATTTGTGTGGTTATTTGTTACAGGGGCAACAGAAAACTAATCACTGTCCTCCCATGTTCTTCCACTATGAACTGCCACTGGCATTCACTGCCTGTTGGTACTGATGTGGTGGAACTAGCTGGGTGGACTTGTGAAAGTCACATAACTTCCCTGGGCCTCTGTTCTCCATTTTCAAAATGAGATGAATGGGTTCCAATGATCATTATGATTCCCATCAGCTCTAAATGGTTACTCCTCTCTAAAGTTCTTTCATCATAGATTCCACACAGAATCAGACCTGGGAGATTTAAAGCAGGGGCAAGCAAGTATGACAGTCTAGAAACAGGGAATTTCACTGCTAACACCTCTTCACTGCTCAATGCTAGGAGCCACAGGATCACCGAGGTTGCTGATCCTAATTTTAAAAACCTAATTTTGCCATGAATAAAGGAAACATCTATTAATTACCTTGTATATCGGGGTACAGTGACATATACAGAAGGCACCAAAGCAAAGAGTTAGTTGTGGTATCGGTCCCAGCAATGAAGAGATCCCCGATGATATAAAGTAAGTAATCTTCATCAAAACTACTGTTGCTATTATTTTTCCTCTCTTCCTCCACATGGAGAAGGTACATGTCTATGAAGTCCTGAGGGTTCTCAGCATCCAGAGACTTTTGATGGTCTTTGATCATTTTTCTAAGGAAACTGATAATACTGTTTTCAATTTGTCTTAATTCCTTAAATGGTCCAAAGGGAAGATAATAAAGCCAGGAGCATATGTTGACCAGTTGGAGCTGGGTGTTCAGAGAGAGTTCTAACGCTCGTGACATAAAATTAAGCATTTTCTTAAACTCACTATTGGTGTAATCAAAGCGCTGGCCAAAGCACATGGAGCAAATGATGTTAGAGACAGCATTGCTGATAATGGGGAAAGGGTTGAAGGGGTTTTCTCCATGCTTTTGCATTTCCTCCTTCACATATTTGAACTCCTTAATAATCTTGGGCTCCAAGCTAAGCTTTCCTAAACCAAAATGACGAAGAGTTGAATGAGAGAACTTCCTCTGTTTTCTCCAGACTGGACCGTAATGTGCGAATACAACCCCTGCAAAAGGACACACGAGAAAAGATGGTGAGAGAGAGCAATGCTTGATAATACTCACCAGGGCATGCCAGGAGTGAATTCCGTACTTCTCAAGTCACTTGTGCAATGTTCACATACAGATAAGATCACCAGCTGTGACAAAATGATTAGCAAAATGTAGTTGTCAAACTAGTATTTCTTTCTAATAACTAAAAGCATATGCAATTTGATACGGAAAAGTTTGCCATACAGACTATTATTATAGATTCTAACTCCTGGTGAAAAGAAAAGCAATGCATTTCAACTTCTAGAGTTAATGTAAATTTCAAATTCTTATTTTCATAAGAATGAATCCAGACCTTGAAAATATTTCAGGCTGGACACACCCATATTCTAAACATTCTGAACAAAAGGGTCAGCATGGTAGCAGACTGCACATGTCGAGAGGGATAATACCTGATTGTGCTCACCATTAAAATCCCAGCTTCTGGTACAGTGCTGGGCACAAAGGAGGAGCCTGTTAAATATGAGCTGAATAAGCCAAGAGCACAACTGGGTTAGAACACTGGCCATCGGAGCCTGGAACCAAGTAACTGGAAGGTAATCTAAAATCTTTTATTTTGGCAACAGCTCTATTTTAAAAACATCTGAACTCAAGGCCGTCCACAACTACATCTTATTTGACTCCCACATAGAAACTTTATAATAAATCTAGTATCTAATGGAGAAGTGCCCCCCCACACACACACACCACCTTGTTCTTTTTCAAAATTGTTTTTAATTATGCTTGGCTCTTTACTCGTTTATAAAACTTAATCATCTGGTCAAGTTCTATTTTTTAAAAAGTGCCTTTGGAGCCACGGTGTATTCTTTCTCTGAAAGAATTTGTCTAAAATTATGACATGTTTCTCTTTTTTTCTTCGAGTTTATTTTCTTCTTTTTTGGATATATAAAGTTGGTCCTCTAACTCATTAATTTTCAGACCTTTGTCCTAATAAATGAGTTAAGGCTCCGCAATTTACCTCTGGGTACCACTTTAGCTGTAGTCTGCAAGTTTTGTTTGGATGGCATGTATTTTCATTACAGTTTACATTTAAATTTTTTTCTATTATGATTCTGTTTTGCCACCTAGATCAATTTGTCTCATACTGATTTTTGACATTGATGAGCTTGCTTTTTAGCCTGGATATGTGATCAATTTTAATGAAACTTCCTAGTTAAGAAGAATTTTTATCCAAACAGTTGTTGGGTACAGGATTCTTTGTATGTGCAACAGAGAAAGCTTGATAACTGTTGGAATAAAATCTTCTGTATCCTTACCAAATTTTTATCTGCCTGATACCTCAACTATTCAAATACTTATGTTAAAATATTCTGCTATAATGGTGTGTTTGTCAATTTAAGTTCTGTAAGTTTGTGTTACATGTAAATAAATATCACAGCTATATATTTATATTTGTATCTATGTATCTGTCTATGTTGTTAGGTACATATATATACTAGATGATATTGCTAGGTACATTAAAGTTTAGAATTATTTTATCTTCCTTGTTTAAAAAAACCCAAAACCTTTTATCATCATGCAGTGCCCTCCTTATTCTTAACAAGTAAGTGACATATATTTTGTCAAAAAATTCATCATCTTTTCTTTTTAAAGTACTTTCTTGGTATAGTCTTTTTCTTTCTTTTACTTTGAACTTGAACATACCCTTATGTTTGGGGTATGTTTCTTTTTTGGGAAGAGGGTATATCTCTTAAAACAACATATATTTGGATTTTTTAATCCATTTTGGCAATCATTTAGCCTATATAAATTTAGTCCATTTACTTTTAACAGAAGTACTATTTCTAACATTTTGCACTTTTGTCTGTTCTCTTTTTCCCTTCCCCTTCTTGCCTTCTTTTGTGCTGAAACAGGGTGAATGCTTACCCTTCAGTTTTTAAAAAGCTTACAGTCTAGTTTAGTGGTCAGCAAACTACAGACCAAAGGTCAAATCCAGCCTGCTGCCTATTTTTGTACTGTCAAAGAGCTAAGAATAGCTTTTACATTTTTACATGGTAGGAAAAAAAATCCAAAGAATAATTTTGTGGTATGTGAAAATCATATGAAATTCAAATTTCAGGGTCTATAAATAAAATTTAACTAGAACACAGCCAGTTAATGAGTCATTGAAATTTATTTACATATAATCTATAGCTCCTTTTGCACTAAAATGGCAGAGTAGTTGCAACAAAGATTAGTGGTGGGGGAGAAAATTTTCTCTGCCAGGGTCCAGGCCAAGACAGGTAAATTTCCTTGTTTTCTTTTGCTGGTGGCCAGGTTTGTTGTGTTCTTTGTCTAATTCGCCGCTCAGTTAAGCTCTTTAAGAGTCCCCTCTTTATCTAGAGGTAACTTTTTTTTTTTTGGTATATCTGTATTGACTTCAGAGAGAGGAAGAGAGAGAAACATCAGTGATGAGAGAGTCATTGATCGGCTGCCTCCTGCACCCCCCTGACTGGGGATCGAGCCCACAACCCAGGCTTGTGCCCTGACTGGGAATCGAACCACGATCTCCTGGATCCTAGGTCAATGCTCAACCGCTGAGCCACACCTGGCTGGGCTCTAGAGGTAACTTTTCATCTTGTGTGGTACAAGGCCACATCTCTCTGCCCTTGCTTTCCTAACTTTGTGTCCCTGACTGGCCAAGAGGTCACTAAAACCCAAGATTCTCCAAAGCATCTGCTTTCTATTTTCAGCAGGGGTAAGGGTGGTGATAAGGAAGTGGTCTAACTACCACACCTTACAGGCACTTCAAGCAGTAGCTGGGAGCTGTTTTTAGCCTACTGGCTCACCCCCGTACCTTCAATTCCTGACCCTTTTGGGAGTTCTGCAGGGTAAACTTAAACTGTCTCACACCCCACTAGTACTCTCCTCTGTACACAAAGGTTTTCATCCGTCACTCTATGAAGTCATTTGCTAATCCTGTGTCCACTTTTTGTCTTCAGATGTTGTGGTGCAGGACTGTAAATACATTTCATCACAGGTGGAGTAAATGTTTCTGTTAAAAGTCCCTCTGGTTTAGTATGTGATTGTCAAGACAAAACTGGAATGGAAATATTTCAACTAGTCCCCAAAACAGAACTCTGCCTTTGTTTAATAAAGCTCCATAAACTACTTCCTACGCAACCACAGCTTAGGTTAAACTTTGTCTTTAACTATGGCAAAGTCTTTTGCTGCATTCAGCATTCACTAAGTGTTATTGGGCCTCCTTTTTTCTTTTCTTGGGAAGGTATGGTCTCTCACTACTTCAGGATTTGATACCAATTCTAACTACCATCTCATCACTTAAGATATTACATATGACATTTCTGCTTTGTCCTGTTACGGAACTTTCTTCCTTTGTTAGGTCCTCAGTCTCACCATCTTTTAAACTACACATCTATATTTCAGAAATACTTTATCTAGCAAAATGCCCTTTTTCTATCCATTTTTCCAATATTTATTTAGAATCTCCTATGTGCCCGATACTAAGGGAACAAAGTTTTAGAAGACATAGTCGCTGTTCTCAAGATACTTACAGTCTTGTGAGGAACTGGGTAAACCAACAATCCTAATACATGGTTGTATGCTGGATTGTACTGAAGTTGCATATTGTACTGAATGTTGTATGTTGGAGGTATATTGAAGTTGCAGTGTAGACACCAGGTCAGCTAAGGGAAGGCAGTGCCTCTCAGAAGAAAGGTCATCTGAGCTGATACTTCATTTGTTAATGAGGATGTGCATAAAGGCACCTCTTAGAAAAATAAATAACCTCAGAAATATTAAAGAGGCTGTTTCAAGAACGGTTTTTGATAATGAGCTAATAGGAATAGAGTGCAAGACAGAAGAGGTGACCAAAGTGACAGTGCCTGAGAATGCCAGGGATGACAGACATGGACAGAATTAATGCCCTCAGGGTTCCAGACTTTACAAAACACCTATCACGTGGAGCCAGAATGGCTTAGCATCTTAGAAGTGTTTGGAAGAGACTTGGGCATATCCTACAGTTGGTAACCTCTCCATTCTTAGCCCTGAAAAGCAATGGTGTTCATGAATGTAGGCAAAAACTTCATCTCAAGGAAGAGGGTGACACTGAGCACAAAAACAGCTCCAGCCAAAAAGTCAGGAATCTTTTGGTTGGGAATGGCAAAGATACCCCCTCAAGCTAGTTGAGCAAAAAGGTCATTTAGGATGTGGAACCCAAAAACGGGAAGGGCCAGCGTCACCACCTCAGGGAACACAATGTCACAGAACTTCTTCTTACTGCACCCAATTTTCACTTCCTTCTGCCTGACTTCTCTTCTACTGTAGACCAGCTTTTCCAAGAACAGCAGCTATCTTGAGATGTCTATTCTCCCATTTTCACCACCAGAGAGAAAAAGCCCTCTATTCTCCAGGTCCAACCCTCAACAATGCTGGGTAAGGATTCAAATGCTTCAGTCAGGTGTGCCACAGTGATACCAATTTGGGACACCTTAAGTTCATCTTGTGGCTTGAGGTTTCCAAACTATGCCACAAGTATAAATTCTTACCCCAAAACCATGTGAGGTTAGATCTGTAGCTATGAATGAGTTCTGTGCCCAGCCCACAGACTAACCAGTTTTACAAAGAGGTGAAATATTCTGACCAATCCACCTTTGATCAGGAATCTATCCCTCAACTAGACACTGTGGCCAGGGAAGACAGTTCTTATAGAGTTATGGCATCTTCCCCTAACCAGTTTGGCTAAGTGGTTAGAGCATCAGCCCGCAGACTGAAGGGTCCCAGGTTCAGTTCCAGCAACGGCACGTACCTTGGTTGCAAGCTTGATCCCCAGCCCGTCACCGTGTGTGCAGGAGGCAACCAATCATGTCTCTCTAACACTGATGTTTCTCTCTTTCTCTCTCCCTTCCACTCTCTCTGAAAAGCACTGGAAAAAATATCCTCACATGGGGATTAAAAAATAAATAAATATATGGCATCTTTTGTCCCAACCATAGTTAATGTGTGCAAAAGGATGGTG